TAAAGGGGTTGACGCGAAGGTCCCTGCGGGCACGAGGGGATCTCCCGGATGGTACAGCATGCCGGTGGCGTCGAAGCGGTAGAGTTGCGGGACGGCGAGGAGAGTCGCGATGATGGCGATGGGAACGCCCCTTCCCAACTTATTCAATCCGTCACCGTATTTGGTTTCTTCTTCGAGTCGTACTGACTGGAGCGCAGTCATGATCGGTAGGGTGTCGGCCAAGAATCGAGCTACGCGCAACTCTTCGTCGGCCATGCCGAGCCCGCGATCTCCAAGGAGCTTCAAGGGCTTCCACTCTGGCCGGCGATACGACATCAGCCGGGGATGCCAGCGACGAAAAGATCCTTTGAGCACGAGCGTTCTGGTAGACGATCAGGCTCATATAGTATTGTTATCGGCAAGTAGTGCGTACCTGATGAAAGGCCAGACTGCCTGAGGGACGAAGTTCGGTGATTTTTGGGCTAGGTCTTCGTAGTCGACCTTGCACCTGCGGAAGATCATAGAAGAGCACAGTTCCCGCATCCAAGAGCATGTCTCGGACAGAGAACAAAGATCTTTAAAAGCCAGGTAATCGAATGCTTGGAGGAGCGCGTCGTCGTCCAAGTGGCGCAGGTTTCCCTGCACGACTCGGTAATGCGCCATCGCACGACAGTACGTGTGTCTCTAAGCCAAACTTTAGTTCAAATTCAGGGTTGATAGGTGCGTACTCACGGTTGGACGAGTTTGCAAGGCCTTCGTAGGGAACGCGATAGTGGTCACCCACTACAAGACGCGCGCTGCCAAAGCTTAGGCTAGGGTGCTGGCGTCAACGCTACCGGCCACGTGACCGACGCTCCTTTCTCGTGTTGACGGAATGAATCGGCGCCTGACGCGACTACGTTTTCCTCATGACTCGCCTATGTAAATACAGGCCCACTTGATCCCATACTGCCTCACCATCTGAGCTGCGTAGGGGGAAACATCACGGCACACTATGCGCTACGATCTCCTCGAACGAATCCACAACGAGGTCCACCTCTCCGCCTTCCGCCTTGCTCTTTATCTGCGCGTGAACCTCTGGCTCTTCCGTCGCGCGCCGGACGTACACGGTCTTCATCCCGTGAGCAGCCGCTTCCCGGAGGTCGTAAATGTGCGCCGCGACCATCGCGCACTTCTCCGCAGGCAGCGAGAGATGGTGGATCGCGCCGAGGTACACCTTCGGGTTTCTGCGTGAAGATACCGGGTCAACAGACGGTACCAAATCAGACGTTGCGTGGCCTGTGAGGCGGAGGGCACGTACGGCTTGTAGGACCCCAGCAGCTCTCCAGAGAACACGACGTCCCAGGGCAGATCGGAGAACTTGGCCTGGGCGGCGGCATTCAGAAATCCATTGACGTGTGTGTGCAATCGAGGCTGACGTACAAGATCGACCAACAGTCGAACGTTCCCGTTTGATAGTGTGCATATGATGGATTTCTTCCTCAGCGCGTGCAAGCCAAGACTACTGTCCGGCCATCCTAGAGAAGAGAAATCGTATCAACGCATTATACTAAGTGATTTGCGAAGAGCCGGTTCGCATACCGTGCAGCTGATGCCAGAGGTTTATGAGATCAGCTCTCTTCTTATCATCGTAGTGTCCGGCGAGGTGCGCCCACTTCGAAGAGGCAAGCATCTCATCGAGGATCTGTTTGCGATCAGATATAAATTCGGTGTGGGCCCGAGAGTCGTACACTTACCTCGCGATGCATGATGTCAGCATTGTTGGATCCAGGACCGCCCGCCGATACACGACGCCTGGAGAATGATCAGCATATCAAAGAACCTCTGAGTATATCGTAACGAGCTTACGTGTATTTCATGTATCCCTTCCGCCATTCCTTGGTGAAGTCGCCCCAATCTACTTACAGGAGGCGTAAGTCAGCAGAGGTACAAAGCGCAACTCTTACCTTCGTCTTGAAACGAGGCTGGAGCAGACTCCTTGAGACTGCGACTGACGCTGCCGTACCAGTCTACTACTGTCCCAAAGACGTCGAAGAGGTATGCCTCAACACCAGCAAGAGGGTCCGCCATGGCTCTGTTGAAGAGCGCGCGAGCTGGTGCCCCAGGAGAGCTAACATGCTGACTACGCAGACCCGTGTGACCCCAGATCGGTTGCGCTGACAAACAACGGTCTATTAAGGTAACACAACGTGGGATACACGTACAATCGCTCATGCAGGTGCAACGGTGATCACCGTCTCCTCGCCTTTGTCAGACCGTGTCGTCCACGGCCCACCCCTCTGCTGCACGAGCTTCGCGGGGAAGGATGCCGCCGCGATGTACCTCTCCTTCACCACCGTATTCTCTTTCCCACACTTCGAACCCGACCTTCTTCTCGCCCTCGCACTTGCCAAGGTTCACATCGAACGCGACGATGCGCCTCGCCGGCACCGGCGTGTCCTGGAGCACCATAGGAACCCCGTCCCGAGCCCAGCGCGCTCTCCGCACCGTCCTCGGGGAACAGCAAGCCGACCGTTTTGCCCGTCGCCTTCGCCTGCGTGTACTGGTGCCCGGTGAACGATGCCTTCATCTCGCGCTCCTCGTCCGTACCGTCCGCGAGCCCGGCGAGGATCTTTGCCTGCATCGCGCACCCGCGCGCGAGGATCGTCGTCGGGTCGGCGACGCCGCCCCCGACCACCGTGCCCTGCGTGAACGGGGTAACGACCGCCTCCTGAAGTCCGGCCGCGAGCGCCTCGTCGTGGGTCGTGCGGACCTCCATGTCGAAGCGGAGGCGGATGATCGTGCCGGTGAAGTCGAGGCCGTCCTTGAGGGACTCGACTGAGCAGGTCTCGGCGCCGCCCATGGTGTCGTCGCGAAGCGTGGCGATAGAGAATGCGAGACCCTGCCGGACGGAGAGAAGCGACAGTTCTAGGGCAGAGGTGCCGAGGTCGACGAGGGGGTGCGGTCTGCACCGGGGCCTGCCGTCAGTAAATTGCTTGTGGCAGTGACGGCTGCCGCGCCCGCTTTCTCCAAGCCGGAGGACGACAATGCCCGCATCGGCGGTAGTCTTCTCGAGGGTGTGCTTCTGCACCTCCTCGAACCGTCTCGGAACAGCGATGACGGCACCCTGCGCCTTCTTGCCGAGCAATTTTACGAGGATCGTGACGACCATGGACACGTCAAAACACGGTCGGCGGCGACAGGGGAGTAGAGACGTGCGACGTGGCAGGAGTGTTGGGGTGTTGGACGCGGTAGTGAGGAGAAGAGACGGAGGGGACATCCAGAAGCTCGGGGTGTTACATGACCGGGGCATACACCGGCACGCGTTCGCACTAGGGATCTCAGAGAACCTGCGCACAGCGTTGGGCGTTGGCTCAGCCTGTGCAATGCTAACAACGGAAAATTCCACTCACATGTTGCCCAAGATATGTCTGAGCCCAGTGATGGTCTTATGAGATGTCTTCACGAGTTGGTGCTCGGTTTTTTTTGCCGATGTGCTGTCGACTTGTGAGCATTGATATTATAGGGGGCAATAAAAATCGCTGGGAAGCTCGCCCGTGCGCGACGAGACGCATACAACAGACCCCGCGCATATATCCCGCCTCCAATTCATGCCATTGCCGATCGCAAGTCAAAAGACTCACCGTATCCTCGCCACAAAAAACATCCTGTAGCTTGGCAGTGGTGCCGTATCCGCCAGTGGCCAGACGAGCAATCGAGGGAGTGATAGTGGGGCCCGCCAGTCTTCGTTAGGGCGGCATACGAGTCGCCGAACGGTTAGGAGCGTAGATTTTTCAACCCGTGCGTCAGCAGCATAGTTGGCTGCTGCACGCGTAGAGGAGCATGGGGACGAGGGGATAAGGAAAGTGGGAGAGGGGGATGGGTATGGAGGAGGACAGAGCAGGCTCGTCCGCGGCATCTGGGCGGCCGAGATACTGTCGGAAAAACCCAAGGCGTCTTGCAAGGCGGCTATCTTGCGGCGCCATTGCAAGCCGGATCCGGCAACCTCGGATCGATATCCCCATGCCGTGGCAATCTCCTCGGCACCATTGCCAGACGCTGGCGATATCGCACGGGAGCTTGCCCGGCTTCCCGTCGCACTTGCTCCCTGCCACGATCGACTTTCGCCCTCTCCTCGCGGCTCCGTGCCGTTCCTTGTCTCAATATCTCGCGGTAAGTGAGTTCTGGATTGACTGGCATGCATTCACCTCTCATATCACTCCAAGTAGCTCCCAACGGCGTCCATCACTTCGCGGATATCCCGGGAGCATCTGCCGCCTCTGCTAATACGGTATGCCCTCCATCCTCGAGGTTTGCGTCTGCGTGTGCCGATCATATGCCATCTCTCCTATTTGCAGACCTTCGACGACCTCTATCTGCCATCATTCGTCGCCCATCATCCCCTTGTCGTCCCATTCCATTTGCGACTCCCTTATGGCTTCGTCTCGCCCTCGGGGGCCAAAACCTTCGGATTCCAAGATTCCGTGCGCGATCTGTGGCAAAACGTTCACCCCGGCTGGTCTCCCACGCCATACGGAGTCTTGTCGCAGGAAGAGAGAGGTAGAGCAGCAGAAACGAGCGGATATCTTCACCGCGTCTCGTGTGCCAGGTGAGTTATGACTCCTGATATCTGTGTAAGCATGTAAATGACGTCTTTACCTGGGTTGAAGCGTCATCCGCCGGCTCGGGGTCCGCTGAACATCTGCACGCTCCCTCCGCCTCCGCTTCACAGGTTGTTTCTCCCCTCATTGGTATGTGAGCATGTTTGGCCCCCCGAAGTCGCAGCTGATGGGAAATCAGCCCGTTCGTCTGAATCAGATTGCTCGCTGTCGCTGATAGCCACAGAGGCAGTGGACTCTGATGGTATATATTACTCTTTCTCCTGGTAGCCACACACTTATTCCGTTTCATGTAATCAAGATCGTGGCACTGATGTGCAAGACTCTAACGTACCTGGGCTGTCCGGTGATACCATTCCATCTGAAGGGACATTGGATTCAACGCCTCAGTGGCCCTCGGAGGATGGTAATCCGAAGGTTGGCGACATCAAGACAGAGTACCATCCGCACTCCCGATGTCCGGCCTTCGTCCGACATGCCGACAGTCTCCGTCATGATACACCTATCACACAGTCTATGTATCAGGCTGCGAAGTCCCCACATCATCCTTTTGAGTCTCGTCTCGACTTCGAGTTTGCAGAGTTCACGGCTAAAACTGGGCTCAATGAAGGCGAGATTGCAAGTCTACTCTGTCTGATATCTGGTATCACTGCCAACCCTGCCAACTTTCATATCAAATCGTGCAAGGACCTGGATAGTCTGTGGGAGAAGAGCAATGCTCTTCATTCTACACACGTAAGATGTGCACCAATCATAAAGTATTGAATATATTATAACATCACGTCCACAGTTCACCTGCACCACAATCAAAGCAGACTATGGGGACTCTATCCAGAGCTATCCATTCCATCATCTCGATCTATGGGACTGGGCACTGGGGTTAATCCAAGATCCTATCCTTGCTGAGCATTTCGAATGGTATCCAAAGCGCCAGTACCGATGGAATGGGCAAAAATGGACTCGTTTTGTGGATGAGCCTTTCACAGCCAATCGGTGCTGGGATATCCAAGTAAGTGCTGAGCAGCTTTTGCTTGAACTGCAGTAACAATTCCAAATATATTAGACAGATCTCCCTGATGATGTCTTTATGGTTGCCTTTCACCTATACGCCGATAAAACACGCCTCTCTAGCTTTGGTGGCCAGAAAGGATACCCCATAGTTGCACGCCTTGCCAATCTGCCTGCTCACATCCGCAATAGTAGTGAGTATGGTGGTGGACAGGTTGTAGGCTTTTTGCCGATTGTGAGTATTATATCTATCTCACATATGAATTCAGTGTCCTAAACGTTTTGTACCAGGTTGAAGATGAACTTGAAGAGGGCAAGGCCGGTTTTGTAGCATTGAAGAGAATTGTATGGCATGAATCATTCAAGGTACTTCTCGAGAAGATTTCCCACTATGCAAGACTGGGGCATCGAGCGGAATGTGGTGATGGAATCCCTCGCACACTTCTCCCATACATTCTTATTAAATCAGCTGACTATGAGGAGCAGTGAGTGTTTATCCTCTTATATTTTTATTATCTCTCACGACATATAGATGTATCATGTCCCTAATTCGGGGAATGAACTCTGCCTGTCCATGCCCAATCTGTCTTGTTCCTCGAGACAAGCAGGTTGTTCTTGCACCTCAACCTCTATATCCTCGCCGGGATGTTCAAGCAATCAAAGCCTTGGTCAGAAGAAGAGATCTCCCAGCAAAAGAGAAAGAGGCTCTATGCAAGGCTACTGGGATTCGTGACTTGGAGGTGAGTCTTTTTGACACTGTGCTTGTTCAATATATTTACTAATATTGCCACAGAATGTTTTTTGGAGTATTCCATACTCTGACCCCTATTCAACACTGTCGTTCGACAGGCTGCATGCCTACCATGGAGGCCTTTTCAGTGACCACTTGCTCACAGAATTCCAGAGTGTAGTTGGCACTCTGAGAAAAGAGCAGCAAGCTGAAGTCAATGATGCGTAAGTGGTGATATTACAATCTTCTCATAAGATTTTCTCCTTATAATTATTTAGATTCAGTGCTATGCCAAGATGGCGTGGCCTCAATCACTTTGATGAGGTTACCACTGTGAGCTTCACCGATGGGTCAAAATATGAGGACATGTCAAAGGTAGTGCATTTATTGCATATAATAATATTTCATAGACATACTGATTAACTGCAGGTCATTGTACCTGCCTCCTATGCTGCATTTCGCTCCAAGCATCTCCGCTTGTCCCGTGGATTCATCATTCTGAAGTGTATCAGACTATACAACATCCTCGACATCTATGCTGGACTGGAATGCCACACTGAAGAGACCCTTGAAGCCTTCAAGCTCACTCTAGTACTCTTCTATGAAGCTATACAGGTAATATTTACTTCAGTTGCAGGCTCTGTTGCTCATATATATGATGCAGGAATATATGCAGGTTTATCCAGGCAAGAACTGGAACTTCCCAAAAATGCACTCTCAACAACATGCCCCTGACGATATCCTGCAAAAGGGTGCCACTCTGCATTTCAACACGAAAACCTTTGAGACAATGCATGGCCCATTGAAGGATATTTATTTGACACGAACTAACTTCAAGAACTTTGAAGCGCAGGTATAGTAATGCTTTAATTTACCTACCGATCCTTAAAACTGACTGTTTGGATATACAGATTGCAAAACATGAGCAGCGTTTGGCAACCGCACGACGTATACGCAGACATCTTGATGCTTCCTCTCCCAGCCAGCCAGATCAACGTCTCTCTGTCTCCAAGGAGTCAGATTCACAGTTTGGCCACACATATATTGGTGCTCCTCAGTCACCCATCTCGCTTCAGGCCCTTCTTGATGCAAACGTGAAGAATCCACTCTACACTCAGTTCTTCAGCCAACTTCAAATATTCTTGCAGCAAAATCCAGGGCTACAAAATACTACAGTCAACAGGGATACCCTGGTACAGTACATTCAATCCTTGGCACTGCACTCATTCTTATGTGAAGCTTTATGTTAGATCACAGAATACCAGTTCCTCAAAATTGATTTCACCTCCAAAGTCACATGGAAAACCGAAACAGATTATTTGCGATGCAATCCAGACTTCCACAATGCTCCTCGCTACGATTCATTCATCTATCAACCCTGGAACAATCTCTCTGCACCTGTAGAATTTGCTCGCCTACAGCTGATTTTCACTATTCTCTCGGGGGGCAAGTCATATCCAATCGTCTTCGCAGAAGCATTTGATCGACTGGAACAGCGGCCTGAGTATGACAAGCCACTCGGGCTCTGCCGTTTGCAATCACCAAGTCCACACAGATGCATTTTCCTTCCCCTCCAATCTATGATCCGTGGAGCCATGATTACAAACGACCCGGGACAGGGACATGGTGGCAATGATTATTTAGCTATAGATATTGTGGACAGCGACATGTTTCTTCGCTTGAAAGAAGCGGTTCCCGAGTGGTACTCATAGATTCTTACCATGTACAGATAGCCATATTTACTCAATCAGCTAGGTTTTCTGTCCGCTTCTCTCTCATCTCGAGCAACGCTGCACCATACTAAACAGCGGCATCACAAGGCCGCTCTGTGCACCCTCCGCCGCTGTCACGCTAACACCTGCCGCACATCGCGGCCTAGTCCCACTCGACCAAGCGTGCTGCCAGTCAACCCAGAGCCCGGCGCATTGCACATCGCCGCATGTGCGCATGGCCCCTTGCTGTAATGCCAATCGACCCGAAGATTTAGCACATGAAGCGGCGCGATAATCTCCTGCACACGATCGCGACGTGGCCCACGGCCCCGCGCAGTGGTAGACTTCACAGCCAGGCTCACCATGAATTCAGTAGTGTTCTGCCGGTGCTGCTGCTTCTTCTGGGAGTCACGACGAGTGTCGTGTGGGCGAGCTGCCCTCAGGGCGACTCGCCACACCGGCTTTGGGACTCGCCCAGTGCCGTGAGCGGCCTGCGCGAGCTCGACCGCGTGCGCCACGGCGCCAGAACACGGCTGCTCGTCGTTCTCGAGCAAATACAGGCCCTCCTCGCCGTGGTCCACGGCTACAGGGCGGGCACAGACGACGTCTGAGAGCAGGTGCGGGTAGAATTCGGCGGCTGCGAAGGTGCGTCAGCCCAAATTCAGCACGGAAGAACGCGGTGGACAGCGCGGGATGCACCAATGCCGTCGTCGACGTGCACGACCGGCCGCACGCTCTTGCCCTCGCCGACCACCGGTGGGCGACCGCGCACGATGGCGGTATGCGCGAGGCGCGCGATGGCGGACGGGGACGTGTTCGCAACCCGGGCCCGCGCGCACGGGCGCGTGGTTCGTCACCCCGAAGACGATGCTCCGTGCGACCAAGTCCACGCGAACGTGGCCGGCGACATGGCCGGTGATGATGAGGCACCCGCGCGTGGACGCGTCGGGCCACGGCCTGCCCATTACCGGGGAAGGTCACCGTGAGGAATGCGAAGACGCTGTGCGTGAGCCTGTTAAGTGTGTGCTACAGCAAGAGACAGATTGGTGGAAGAACTCACGAAGCGTGAGGCAAATGGAAGAGCGTGCAGAGCACGGGAGGGAAGGGGAAGAACGTGGACAGGAGATGGAGGCGTCGGGGAGGCGGAGCTGGCCGCCTCCAGGTCAGCTCGGGCGGTGAGCGGTCGTGGGTGTGTGGATGTGCGATGCGGACGAGGTCTGTAGTAGAAGAAATTAGAATCAGTGTGAGGAGCCGTGAATGTGTGCATACCTGTCTCCTGGCCGGAACGATGAACGGGTAATTGAGAGTGCCGCCGGGCCGCTTGTCGAACCTCGGCTGTCGATTGTGTCACGCCACAGCTCCTGCTCAGACGCTCTCCCACCGCACTCCTTCTCCTCCCTCAACTGCTTCCCGTGCCCTACGACTTGGACAGCACCTCGTTCGAGTCGACACATCTATCGCCACCGGGAACAGCGCCTGGACCAAGTGCGGCACCGTTCCGGCTCACTGACGGACTCGGAGCTCATCGCGATGCAGTTTGCATACGCCCACAACCTCGCGGAGAATACCGCGAGCGAGGAGATCAAATCGGACGTCGTCGTCGTCGTTGTCCTGCCGTATCGGAGTGCAACATCATCATCGACGCGATCGAGAGGTATCGCCTTCGCGGTTCACTACACCAAAAACGCGGGCCTCCTTCAAGCCTTTTCAGGGCTCCCCTCCAATCAAGTTTTCATTCAATATCAACGCGGACGAAACCATCCACAATGGGCGGCGACTTCACACATAAAGTCACGCACTCTGACCGGCTCCTCGTCCAGGCCGCCGAGTCCTTCAACACCGACTCCCATCGCCGTGGCGCTCGCCTGGTTCCCCACCACCTCTGACGATCTCGTCTGTTGCAGCAATCATGGGCCAGCCACCGGTGCTCAAGCTCTACGAGCACGCGTTCACCATCGACGTCTCAGGCGCAGGGGAGGGCCGCGCCCAGCCATGCACATTTACCAGGCTTGCGGGCCTCCGCGATGTGTTTCTCCGCGCTGAGGTCGCCGTCGCTGCGCTTCAGGTGCGTTGCCGCTCCGCCCTGAACCCGGTACAGACCCCTCCTGATCGGAATTCTCGGCACGCAGGGTGCAGTCGGGCGGAATTCGTCCGTGCTGCAGGTGCCGTTCCTCAACCTGCTCGCCTCCGTCGCGAACCGTGCCGGCGGCATCCGCATCCGCGTGGGGGGCAACACCCAGGAGTACGCCACGCTCGTCGACGCGCTCCCTCCAACCACGGCAGTCGGCGCGGTCACTGCAGAGGGTCCCGTCGTCTTCCCGACCGGACCTCAGATGGTCGAGTCGAAGGAGCTGTTGTAAACGACCTAGACCACCCTCCCCATGAATCCCGCCATCTCCCTCATCTCCGTCCGTCCGTCCGTCCTACTCCCCTCAAATCCAGACCAACAGGCGCTCCCGCCTCCCTCCCACGCTGTAATCGATGTGCTTCCCCCGCCTCGTGTCTCACGCTCGCCGACTTCCCGCCCCGCCCCTCCTTTCCCTCTCCTGCAGGAATTCGGCATCGAAATCGTCAGCGAAGACAACAAAACCATTGTTCATCGCAAGATCATCGCCCGCGTCGCATGTGGCTTCACCCAGCTCGATGTGCCGAGGCCGCACAGTGCGGCGAGGCGCAAGCCCAGCAGCAGGGTATGCAGACGACTCGGGGCAGCTCTTCTCCTACACGACGATCCACGCAACCTGCTCGCGTGCTGCGTTTGGGCTGCACCCATGAAAACGTCACTGTGCTGCGTTTCCAGGACGTCGTGGTCGAACTTCGTGGCACAGACTTCAACGCCGACTGCCTCCGCGGATTCCTCCCCTGCCCTGGGTGGCCCACGCTCGTCGACGCCGCACGCTCGGTCTGTTGTGTTTACTATCACCGTAAAGGCACAGCATCTGACCAGCTTTCCGTCCTCACGCTACCCTCACCACTGCCTGCAACTTGGGGATATATCCCTTCCCGCAGAGCAATAGGAGACGGCGGATGACGTCTTACTGAAGAAGGCACACCATCTCTTTCTGGAAGTGCGCCCGTCTCTCCCGTTGTCCTCTACGCTCGCGCTCACCATTACGTCCATTGAACTCCCCAGATCCATGTCGAGGGGGGCCAGGCGGTGTGTGACAACTAGAGTCCCGCTCTTGAACAACAGCCTGAACATGGTGCGTGCTCGTCCTGCGGCTCGCCCTCTAGCGCTCTTCCCCCCACCCGTCGCGCGAACTGCTTTTGTATCTCCGTCTCCGCCTTGTTCCGTTTCCGTTCTCCTTTTTTCCCTTCTCTTCTCGTGATTGAATGCCTGGCTCTCCCGCCTTTCACTCGCCCTCCACGGTGATAGATATTCTGCATCCATCCTCCGTCCTGCATCCCTTGCTGACAGCGCCTCTGCTCGCACAGCTCCCCGTGGAAGACGAGATCGGCTAGCCTGGCTACGCCCCCGCTCGCCCTTGCAAGCATGTACCCCATGGCTACTTATACGGGTGGCATGCCCAACCAGGCCAGCGCCGGCAACAGCCCCTTCAACTTCGGCAACGTTCAGGGCAGTTCAAACGGAGCCGGGCCTCAGCGACGGCCGACAATAAAACTTCAAGGCCTTGTCGGGACTCAGCATGGGCAGCATAGACAGTGGGAACGTCCTTGTCCCCGGCAAGAGCGGTCTCACTCTCGACCACATCCTCAGCAGTCCGCGCTTCAAGAATAGCTTCAGAAGAGCATGAAGAATAGTGCGGAGCTTCGCTCGCTCAGCGGCGGTCTCGCCGAGATCCATGATACCCTTGGGGCAGTTTGGTACGTTTTGTCGTTAACGCTACCAATCGTCCGCTAATCGAACACGCATCCTTCAAACCTCTACAATACTGCCGCCAGTCATGCCAGCCCAGGTTGCTTGAGCTGCGGAAGAGGCCGTCATCGGAGCCCTCGAGCACCATGTCGGAACTCCAGAGCCAGCTACAGGAGACTCAGCGCTCCTTGGCGGAGCACGTCGGAGCGCAAGTGGGAGATTGAGCTCTTCCGGCTCATGGCAAGCGCCCGTCTATCGCACGACGACGACAACACCCGTAACATCTTAAAAGTCACCCCGCGCATGTCGAAGAGTAGGACGAAGAGCAGCGGAGGAGTCGCGACGAGCTTGGCCGCCCGCGGACACCTGAGCTGACTGGCATGGGCATGACCAAGGACGAGCAAAAGCCAAACTCATTCTGGCAACCAGCCCGCACCCTCCGCCCGACTTCCCCCCTCCCACGTCTGTCCCCGCTGTCCCGGACGAGGTCGCCGACCACCTCAACGCGCTCGCCAAACAGCTCGAGATGGCGCTCGAGCTCTCGCGCTCCCTCGAAGCCCAGCACACCACCACCCAGCCCACGATCTCCGTCCCCGAGTCCAAAGTCGCCCCACTCGAGAGCCTCGCCCAAGACACGCAAACACGAGTCCGTTCTCGGGTCGAGGTCGCCGACTCGACGACTCGTCCAAGCGTCCGAGTCCGCCCACGCCGCGCCTCAAGAACCCACCACCCTGTCGCCGCCGCAGTCAGGAGGCGAGGAAGAAGGAGTGCGAGCCGCTCACCTCGATGTTCGCGGAGTGGAAGAAGATCGACTAGGGCAAGGGTCACGGCGTGCACGAGGACTCCAGTAAGCCAGAGACAAGCGAGAGCTGGATTCGCGCGGCCGAGAAAACGGTCTCCACTACCGTAGTACCGAAGGTCGAGAATGAGGTCTCCACCGCCGCGAAGAAGGCCGAGGCGGTCCCATGTCACTGACTTCCTCTCAGGCGAACCAGCAGCAGAAGTTTATGAACGGCGACCGGATTCTGCGAAGCCCCATTCTGACAGCGAAGATGTCATGGACCTCCCACTGCCCTCGCTCCAGGCTCTTTTCCGAGCCCGCTCGTTCCCAGAACCGGAGCATACACGCTGTTTCGCAAGGACACACCTCAGTTCCCGGTCGATCTCGCCCTCGCTCACCGTCGCACGACAGCGCAGTGACCAATCGGGACATGATGACTCGAAACGTCCACCACTCTAGCTTCTTCGCAGCGGCGTGCGAGGCGGAAATTAGAGTCCTCATGGGTCTATTGAGGTGAGTGACATCTTTCTAACGTCACCAAATACAGCGGTAATGTCATCCCCCGCAGCACTCAGTGGCGCACGCATCACACGAGGCTATAAGCTCTGCAATAGACGCGTCCAGAACGTCGCATCACGGAACGAGAAGACAGCCGAGAGACTCGGCTTGCATGCGCGGTGAGTGTGGTCTCATACATGAACTTCCCCTGCAAACGTCTGACAAGGTATAAAACTCGCAGAACTTCCATCCCCTCTCCCTACCGGGCTCCGATTCTCACATCGCACATTGGTACGCCCACCGCGTTTGCTGCCATTTACACTCCCACTCACACCCGCACTTATCCTTGACTGTCATAGATATGCCTTCGCCGCATGAGAGCGCCGATGAAGATGACGATGGCTGGTCTCTATCGGGCTCACGGCCGAATATGACTGCCGGACTCTCTGAATATCGCAATGTAAGTGCAGTGGCGACTCGGCGATACCACAATATCCGAGCTGACAAGCTTTGATCAGGCGTACCATGACCTTGAGATGAAGTACTCTTCGCTCTCGACCGAGAACCGACAACTCCAAGAGCAGGTCAAAGTGCTCAAAGAGATGCTTCCCGCTTCGAAGCGCAAGAACCTACCAACCTCAACCTATGAAGTATCGTTGTCGGAATCCCTGTCACGCTCGGCCCAACTCTACATGTTTCGTATCTGCTTCTGGGTACCTCCGTCGCTCTTCACGCAGGGCACCCGGCCGACTGGAGTAGATCCGAAGAACTACGGTTGGAGGTGGCCCAACGGCACGACGATCGGCGATATCATCAAGTCAGACCCTACTGGTGCACCCGACCCACGGGTATCCGACGCCACCAACCGCAATGCTCTTGTTTCCCAGTCACGCCGTAACGACGCCCGTCTCGCTGAGCTCGTTGATGATCTGCCGAGAGATCTCCGAGAGATCTTCGACAAAGTTTGGATGCGCTCTGTGGTGAGTGCGTAGGAGTTTTAACGTAACAGCCATCTAATATTTCTTTCCTAGTTCGCCGAAAGGGTTCAAAACACGAAGAACAACTGTATCAACAACTGCAAGGCGGCACGTAGCGCCATCTTCTCGCACATCGCAGATCTCCAGGATGTGCCGTGGTCAGGCTCGACTAACGATATGAAGAACCATCACCACCTTTCGTTCCTTCGAGGCGATAATCAAGACCCGAGAAACCACTACTATCCGTTCTTGTTCCCCGGCATTGAGCATGAAAAGCTCGAGGTGAAGTTGTTCCGCACGGCCTGCATCGCAAAGGTCAGTTGGCAGTGTTCGATTCTGCCGCGGCTTGTGTTCTGACTAAGCACACGTTCAGACTCTTCGTGTGCTTCTGTACGGAGCCACTGGTGCAAACGAGGGTCACAAACCTACCAACAAGAGTCTCGGGAAGAAGCTCGAACTGGGTACTGTCACACCGGGCATGATTGCGATGGCGGCCACAGTGGTGAGTCCTCCGCAGTCTGTATACAGTATGGGACTTCGTTATATTTGCTCCTGGTCCTCCACGGCGCGCCCTTACATCCGCGAGAGTATTCTGGGGTCTCCTGTGGTGCAGAGGCGATGCACAGCGTCGCGTCCTTCGCGCACGGTGTTCTGCAAGCCCGGGAAGTTGGCCCGCGTTCCCATCAGTACCACGCGCTCATGATCAACGTTACGCACAAGTGCGGCACCGGCGGGATCGCACCCTGAAGCGCGGCTGCCCACTCTCATCAGGCTTCATGGACCGTATCGACGTGCTTGAGGCACTCGCGTCCAATGGGCCGACCTGTAGCGCGGACGCGGAACGAGAGGCTGCGCGCGATGGGTGACCGTGCTAGGCCACGGTGTGCCCGCTGCTCATGTGCCTGCGTGTCGGGGGCCCGCGCGCGGTCATTCCAGAAAACATGACTGCATTCAATGCGCTCGCGTGGACACTCGAGTGACATGCGGCGCTCGAGGTGACGCGGCTCGAGGTGCTGCTGCAGCGTATACGGAGGATGTCCTGTGGATCGCAGTGCGACTGGAGCGCATGCGAAGGAGTTTGAGCTGTCACCGCGATAAGATTTACTGACTGATGTGTATTTTCAGACGCGCTTCCTTCTGTCCTACGACACTGAGTTCAATCCTGTCGGGCTGAACACGAGCTGGTCCTACGAAGGGGACTACGAAACTTGGTACCGGTTCCTTACTGTCAATTGGGAGACGAACAACTTGCAAGCCACGCGTTCGTACTTCGATCAGCACGTCTTTGGCGTCGTCGGTGGTGAGACAATCCCCATGGACATCGGTGACGACGACACTCCGGATGTTCAGTACATGCAGCCTGGCAACCTCGACGACTTTGCATACGACAACAATGACGACGACGACTTCTCATCTCACCGGCGTGCGAGAGTGCAGAGGCTTACCCACTTGCCGAGCACCAGTAGCCAGCCTCGGCCAACCTCTAGCACCAATGCGGTGGACTTGAACCCCTCCGACTCCACAGTATCCATGACCAGCTCTCTATCTTCCTCCACCTCACCTTCTCAGTTTCCACATACCATTACTCCCACTCTCACTGCAAGTACATCGGCGTCCATGTCTATCCCCCTCCCATCGAACACCACGACAACCCCTACTCTCATCACCACTACCCCGACCGCCGGTACCAGTGCCGCTCTGACGGCCGTTTCCGACACCATCACGTCCACACCGGGGACTCCCGCTCTCCCGCCACCTTCTCCCGACGCAGTCGAGAACGACCTCGTACCCACCATGGCATTATCCATGTCCATCTCTGCAGCAGAGGAGGTCGGCGGCCCACGGACGCGCAACACCTCGCGGACGACTCGCGCGGGCGCTTCGAGGAGAAGCAGTCAGGCTGCTGAATCGGAGACTGGGGCTCCGGTGCGGAGCGGCCGGTCCACCCGCAAGCGCGGAGCTGTGGTGTAGGAGTTGAAACGGATACTATGACCCGCATTCTGCTGTGAAATCAGTACTTCTCGTGCCATGCAGATGCCGACCATGGTCCGCATGTTTGTCGCACCTGCATCCTGACTTTCCCGCATCTATATCACCTTTGTCTACATACACCCAATGCATGCATCAGTGTTCTCTACATGTGAGGCATGCCGTCGTTTACCAATACACTCGGCTACTTGTTCTACCAGAGGTGTTTCGACAACTAACAAGTGCTCAATGAGGCCCCAAAAGAAGGTGACTTATTCATGTAAGCATGTACCATACAAATGGCCGTTTAGAGTAACGGTTTTCTTGAAAGCCCCGGTGTTACGGTTCAGTGACTGCACGCGTTCGAGACCGTTAATGGGAGCTTTTCCGATGTACTAAATGTAGACCCATTAGAGTAGTGAGAATATACATGACTTTACACCGACCATAGTAGTGATCATTAGATAGTGGTTCAACCAAGTTTCAATAGACATGAGTGCGTGCGAACCATATACTAGAGTGTAACCGGTAGCAACGAACAAGTACTAGTAAGTAACAACGAACAAGTACCAGTAAGTAACAACGAATAAGTACTAGTAATAAGCACTGACTGATCCCGAAGCAGGTGCGGTACTAACAAACGCATACAAGAAGCAGAATACCTTTTGGTGTTTTCATTGAATTTCAATCTCCGACTGAATACTTGGAAGCATATTCCAATCTCCACTTCGCATCTTGCATTTTGAGCCGGTTGGATTGCTATCTCCGCTTCTCGCGTGGCGATGTCACCGGACCGGCTTGCAATGCCAGCGTGGCATGGGAATGTGATCCCAACGGCGTCTGGCAAAATTGCAATGGCATGGCATGAGAAACTAGTCAGCTTGCGATGACATATCAAGTCATCGTCATCTGGCGACTATTGCAATGCCGTTGCCAGCGCTGGTAATGCCCAATCGGTTTTTCCGACAACAGATAAGATAAGCGCTCAAGGCGATCAAGACAAGGTCACTGGCGCCTAACCTCACGCCTCTCTTGCTCGCGGTCAACCACCATCCCGCAGATCGTAGATACACGTCGCAGAAACAGCTCCTCGTGATTCTGGATATATATTAATAGTTGCGGAGAGCTCATTCTGACGTTAGTACTGGAGGGAGCGTGTTCGTGCGGCTAAGGATCAGCGGTGGCTGCGAATCCGCCGCACCCGCTAATGGCAAAGCTTGAAGACGCGCCCATCCAGTATGTGATTCCCCCTGTTGAGGGATCGGACGTGGGATGCTTTCGGGAGGATCAAGTTGACGACGACCATGTTTGATTCCGGGCAGGTATGAACGTATAAGATAGAGTGTTACGAGTGCAACGAGGGAACAAGTGCGGGGAGGAATACATAGAGTGAGAAACGTACTTGATGGTCTCAGTCTTACCCCGATCCTCGTGCAACACGAGGCGCGCTCTTCCGTCCCTAGAGGAGGGAAGAGCCGCACGTGCGATGTGACATCCGTCCGGGCCCGAAGTGCGGAACCCCGTCGGCCTTGCAAACGTTGGACTCGCGAGAGGAGTCGTAATATAAGGCAGCGTTTTGGAGGGTCCCACGAGCTCGGAAATCGCGGCCACGACCATACAATTCTTCGCAGCATGGTCGTAATAAATCCGCACGTCGTTGGATTATACCGTCGGACGCAATGTGAATTGACCTCGCCGCGCAAGGGACACTTTCCGCGTGAGTTGAAACCCAGGCGTACGAGAAGCGTCAGCGGGAGGTTGTTAGAGGAGAGGAAGACGTTCGTGCCAGTTGCCACGCGCTTACCTGCTGGATCTGCAAGACCAGGATATGCCATCAGAGCGGAGGTTTGGATCGGGAAGCCAAGCCTGCACTAGATTGACACGCCACTCACGCAAGTTGCCAAACGGCGAGTGCCGATGGCAAGGCTGCGCTGCCCCTAGTGCGTCGTGAAGTCAGGCTCGCAGAACGAGAAAAGAAAGTCACATACCGAGTGCTTTTTACGTGCGGAAGACATGACACGCACGTTGACGCATGTGCATGATGTTTGAAGACAAGCACTTAAGCTTAAGCTTCGTGGGCAACCCGGCATTGGCCGGGGCACGTGTGATATGAGCCCCAGGCGCCTCTCCGAGAGGCCCGGCCGTAGCCAGGCTTTCGAGGCTCGACCATGCCTCGTGTCAACATGCTGCCTGGGGGTGGACCCCGTCTCCCGCCGAAGGCCCAGAGCCAACTCGAACAGGTGAATGCAGAATATCCGTGCGCCACCGTACACGCAAGTCGCTTTGTTAGCAATAATGTTACCACCAAGCCTCCAGCTCCTCCGTCCGCATACGCATGTCCGTGCCGCCCGGTCTGAACCTCAGCCAGTGGTCTCCGGTGCCGGGATACGACAGGTCCACGAACTCGATCGCGGGTCCCAGCACGCGCACGAACGCCACGGCGATCAGCTCCAGACACCAGTCCGCCACGTACGGCTCCCGTTCGTGCAACGCGGCGGCGGCGGCTTGTATGTCGGCCGGCGCGCCGGCGAACGCGTCGAGGCTGATGTGGTGCTCCTCGTTCCACCCGATGTGCATCCGGACAGAACGCAGCGCGCGGATACCACGGAGGACGGCGGCGACGCCGAGCTGTGGGTGAGGGGACCGTCGGTACCGTGCGCGACGCAGACCAGACGAGAGGGAGACGCACGACGTTCGCCCACGCGGGACCCAGCTCCTCGTTCTTCGCGTCGTTCCGTACGAGCGTCAGCCGCCGCAGCGCCGGAAACGTCGCCGCCACGGTCTCGAGGAGCGCGTCCTCGCCGTCGTCCGCGGCGTACTCGAGCTCCAGCGCCGTCACGTTGCACGCGCCGCGGCACGAGGCGACGATGCGGGAAAGCGTGGAGGACGGGATGAGCGGCGAGCGCCACGCCAAACCCGACCGAACCGGCATGGAGTAATGGCACTCGTACAGGTGCAGGAGCGTTCCTCGGTGCGGCCAGGAGCACAGCCGCAGCTCCCGCAGTCCAGGCGGCAGGCGACCCCACAGCTGGTCGTCCGCGCGAGGGTGGCTCACGGTGAGCTCCTCGAGCGCCTGCAGCGGAGGCTTCTTCGCCGGAGGAACTGACACGGGCCAGACTGCTGGAGGCGGCTCCAGCCGCGACAGCAGGGTGTAATGGGGATTTCTGTGCACATCCGCTGTGTGCAGGCGGAGACGGCGGAGGTTCGGCATCTGGGCGAGAAAACAGATGTACGGCGTAGGAGTGACGTCTGCCAGCGCGAGATGCTCGCCCTCGAGAACGAGTTCATTAAGGAAAGGCCAGTGTTGGAGCGACATCTCGTGAAGAGGCGCGTTCTCGAGGGGGAGGTGAAGCGTCGTCACGGAGGCACTGAGCGGTGGGATGATGAGCCCGAGAATAACATATTCGGATCTGTACGCTCGAGGGCCTTCGCGATACTTGTGTGGCGTGTACCTAAACGTCTTCACGTGGTCCAAGAGGAGGCGTGGGGTTGGAGTACCGGGGATGGGGTCGTCGTCATGATACAAGGTGCGGGTGAAGACGATGTGCTGGATGTGCGAAACTCGTAGGATGGTGAAGAGGACAGGGAGAGGAAGTCCCACCTTATCATGCAGGTCTTCCCAACTATATCCCAAGCATGTATAAGGGTCGCCAAGAACGACAGAGCGCAGACGGGGAAAGGAGTGAATGATATTCGACAGATTTGCTGCCGTGCGACACTCAAGCTCGCTGACCACCTCGGGGGTTCGTGGCAACCGTTGGGCATCTGAGTGAGATGAGCGGTGAAAGCACTCCTTTATCGTGAGCGTACTGATAGACAGTCGTCAGTGGTCAGCATAGTGAAGTGGGCTCGACTAGTGGAGGCGTACTGTACGTGGCCCCGGGCATGCTTCGGCAGGGTGTTGATTGTGCTTGCAAACAGGAGCCCAGGTCGAATTAAAACCACGGAGAAGAGGGAGGGAGAGCATAAGGAGCGCATTCGGCGGCATGTCATGGACAAGTTTATCAAGGAGTGCGAGGCAAGAAGTTCGACCAGTTGGAGCAGCACGTCGTCGTTGAGGTGCTTGAACGATGTGGCAACCGGCGCACCGCTCGCCACTTCGCCCATGACCGGCAAATGAGCATGCAATAAATGCAAAGAAAAAAAGACATACTTTTGATAGCTTGAGATCACAGACGACAAGCCACCTGCGTTCACGACGGGCAACGGCCTAGCTTCGGAGCTCGAAAACGCGTAGAAAAAGACTGTGAGAGATGACATTTCCAAGGGGACAAAAACGGAGGCTTAGGTGACCTTTTCTTGATGTAACTAAGAACAAAGACAATAGAACGTGCATAGTATGCGAGTAACAAAGAAGTAATTACAAGTGATAACCTGTGTTATTGTCGAACAAGGTGGAGAAAAGGTCACCTTAGCTCCTATTTTTGTGCCCTTGGAAATGTCATCTCTCACAGTCTTTTTCTACGCATTTTCGAGCTCCGAAGCTAGGCTGTTGCCCGTCGTGGTTGATGATGGACGGACTCAACTTCAAGCGTGACGTCACGCCAGGATCACGCCCCGTGGCCCGTGAGTCGTGACGGCACCTGGGCGCTTCTGTCTCCCACTTATAGCCCTGATCGAGGCGCGCGTGCATTTGTGCCTCGCCTTCCATCTTACGCTGTCATGCAAGCGAAGCTCCCCTTGATAAACTGGGTCAAAACCATGTTAAACTCGGTGATCCCCCATGCAGTCATCTTTCCCTCCGACCTTCCAGTCGTAGGCTGACGATCCTCTTGTCACCCATATCGAACGTGAACCCCTTCCTATCCCGGCAGACGATGGTCCGCAATCGATCACTTTCCTCTCGGCCGCGACTCTCTCGAACGACCCCTTGCCCCCATGCGCGGATGTCCTCGGAAATTCAGATGGACCCCACTGGAGAACGTACCTCCGTCGACCTTCCGGCTCAGACCGGCAACCCGGGTCCCTACTGCGAACAGTTGAGCCGCTTCTCTCAACCTATC